AGTGGAATGAAGCAACAGATACTTTTTCGCCATCCAATGTTCATTGATGAAGAAAAAAGATTCCCAGACTTAACCAAAGTAGAGGTTCATCATCACCATTAAAGCGAGGAAAGTCGAGTTCTGTACACCTAGGGACAATTTTTCCACCATCACCATTGTTGGGTCCAAAATCATGTCAAAGACCATAAGATATTGGTTGTTTCTGGAATCATGGGAATCTTCAATTCACTTTTGATGCAGTGATAGAGTGAGCTGTTGGATTTGGACAGCTATACCTTGCTGTCTGGCTTCCGAGGCAGCTTGCTCTACTCTACTTATACATGAAGAGGAATGCATCAAATTGCTTCTGTAAGGAACGTTTTCCTCCCATAAGTCCAGGCTCTTATACCAATTATGGCCCCGTACTTGGTATCGAGTTACAGGTCGTTGTAAACTTGTAGCGTGAAATCTTGATCAACTATGCTAGGTGCCTGTGGTGATTTCCCTTCTTCCACCCTATTAGGAATGTGTAAAGGTTGAGAGCTCGATTGAAAAGAGAACTACCTAATCTCAATAACAAATTTCTGGATAAATATATTTGATACATATCATTCCATAACCAACCTTTAAGTACAAATCAGTTCATCCTTTTTTTCTAATGCATGGAGTAATACAAGGAATTATAAACGTGGACATAGTGGTCTGCATGCTAAAATGCACTAATGCTAAAAATGCAATAACTACGCCTAAAAATCTAGCACCTCTTGTGGATGTAGTCAAATCCCAACTTCCCCTACCATTCGGCCTTCTTGAACTTGCCATGTGGCTTTTCTAACTTTCTCTGATAGCTTTTGTAGTTGAGATTTCGAACTCACAACATGAGGTCAATTCGGATGGTTTTGTTGCTCGATTAAATCCCCGCCATGTCGCTAAGGGCTATGCTCAAACCTATGAAGTGGGCTATTCTGGTACCTTTTTCTCCTTTTGGCAAAGTGACATCTATTCGGTTGTTTATCTAACCCGTGGCTATTCATGATAGGCCCTTGCATCAACTTGATATCAGTATTGCTTCTCTTTACGATGATCTTCTAGACGAGGTATATGAGGTTGCTCAGGGGGAGTCAGGACAGTTTGTCGACTTCGAAAAGCTCTAGATGGTTTGAAACAGAGTCTTCGTACTTGGTTTGGTAAATTTTGGAAAGTATGGTATGAAGAAAAGCACATGTGACCATTATGTGTTTTACAAGCAGTCAGACACTAGTATCATTCTGTTAATTGTCTATGTAGATGACATTGTCATCCCTTGAAGTGATATTATTAGCATCTCATCTCTTTTAAGTATTTCATTAATTCTCAATTTCACACCAAGGACTTAGGAGTGCTAAAGTATTTCTTGAGTGTAAAGTTATAAAAAGTGAATATTGTATATTCATATCTCAGAGAATATATGTTCTTTGACCTATTAGCTCATACAAGAAAATTGGGAGCAAACCCCTTGTAGTGCACTAATGACTCCCAACATGCACCTTACAAGAGACGGGAAATTATTCAGAGTTCCCGAGAGATGATAGAGGTTGGTTGGGAAACTGAATCATCTTACAATGATGCATCCTAATACTGCATATTCTGTTAGCATGGTCAATCAATTTATGTCATTTCCAACTGTTCATCATTGGACAACTTAGAAACAAACTTTCTGATACTTGAAATGAGCACCCGGGTGTTCCTCTGTGTATGCAAATCATGGGCATGGCCCTATTGAATGTTTTCTGATGCAAATTGTGCAGGTTTCAAACTGGATAGAAGATCCACTTATGGATATTTTATATTTTTGGGAGGAATATTGTTCTCATCGGGAAGGAAGAACCAAAATCTTATCTCACGATCTAGCGGAGAGTCAGAACAACGAGCTAGGCTAGGTGACAATTTGTGCGCTAGATAACGTGGATATATCAAATATAGAACAAAATTGGACTTAAGGCTTCAATACCAGCAAATTGTGGTGTAACAATAGAGTTTCTTTTCATATTGCATATAATCCTATATTTCATAGGCAAACTAAGCACATTGAAATTGATTATCAATTTGTTCATAAGAAAATTCAACAAGGTTAATTTGTACCCAATATGTGAAGACCGGAGAACAGTTACGGGAATCTTCACAAAGGCGTTAAATGGAGTTCATATTGGACATCTTTGTAACACGTCTATGGAATAATTATTTATGCTCCAACTTGAGAGGGAGTGTTAGCTAAAAGTAGATATTTAGGGTTTATCTTTCCAATACCTTTTTCATGTTTTCCTAAAGTAGTACCCCAAATTTTTGTCAAGAGCGAGAGCTGGAGTTTGCCAAAAAAAGGCCCCGTAAGTCCTTTCCCTTGGCAACAATTTGGATACACAATGCATTCAATTGTTCGAAGTCATGATGCCATGAGAACTTGATCAAGAATAACTAATAATAAGTTGCTAAATTACGATTAAATGAAAAGAGTAAGACAGAGATAAGAATTGTGGCTATGATATCATGACAAACTTAGAATGTTTTTGGGAAAAAGATGTCATCTCTTTGAGAAAAATTCTCATCATATACTCAACATATATTAGTATATTAGGCTAGACCAAGGATCATGTGGAAGAATCTAAATGGTGCAGCTAGAAAAGTTTTCAAGGATAGGGTGGTTCGAGAAATGATGAATAGGCAGGGACAGATACCGAGGTTATTTAAAGGCAAAGAAAAAGGAGAGGGAGGTAAAGGGAGTAGGGGACGTCTCAAACCGTGCAACATTTGTTTTTGCCAAGGCATTAGCATAAAAGAAGTGAAGAGGGTGCTAAGAAAGATGGGAACGGTAAATCCGTAGGCCCGAAGTCCACACCAGATTCTGATAAAGGTATGGCTTCGTCAAGGAGAGGCGGGTGTGNTGGGAACGGTAAATCCGTAGGCCCGAAGTCCACACCAGATTCTGATAAAGGTATGGCTTCGTCAAGGAGAGGCGGGTGTGAAGTGTTGACACTGCTCTTCAACGTCACACTCAAGACTGCTAAAATGTCTAAAGGGTGGAGGCTTAGTGAGTGGTGNTCAAGGAGAGGCGGGTGTGAAGTGTTGACACTGCTCTTCAACGTCACACTCAAGACTGCTAAAATGTCTAAAGGGTGGAGGCTTAGTGAGTGGTGTCGGTTTATAAAAAGAAAGGTGACACTCCACATCGTAGCAATTAGTGTGGTATTAAGTTGCTTAATCACACCATGAAATTATGGGAGCGAGTGATTAAGGCTAGGATAAGGTATGAAACGAAGGTGACAGAACCAATGTGGTTCGATGATATGTCGAGCAACGATCGAGGCAATTCACCTCCTCAGACGTCTCATGAAGAAGTATAGAGAACGAAGCAGAGATTTACACATGGTGTTTATAGGCCTGGAGAAGGCCTATAATACCGTACCAAGAGATGTGATTTGGAGGGGGGTTGCGTAGAGTTATATCAGGGCGATTCAAGATATACGAGCGATAACTTGTGTCAAGACCCCGGTGTGTAGACAAAATACTCGCCAATAGAGATAAGGCTTCATCTAGGATTAATACCAAGCCCATTCCTATTTGTTGTGATTTTGGATGAGATTTCCAAAGGGAACCACGGAATTATACCGTGGTGTATGCTATTTGTGGACACATTCTGTTCATAGCGGAGTCCAAGGTGGAGGTGAATGAGAGGTTGGAGCAGTCGATGGGTGCATTGGAATCTCGAGGCCTACGCATTAGTCGCTCTAAGACCGAATACTTATGGTGCAATTTCAGTGGGTGGGTATCGACGAGGGGGTAGAAGTCAACATTGGAGGGCAAAGGATACCCTAAAAGGATAGTTTCAAGTATCTAGGCTCTAGGATTCAGCATGGCGACCAAGGATGACATAACACATCGCCTAAAGACAGGATGGCTAAAGTGGAGGGCCGCCATGAGACATGTCCCTTTAACACTAAAAGGATAATTTTATCGGGTAGGCATCAGACCAACAATATTCTATGGGTCGGAATGTTGGGCGATAATCCCCTAAACTTAAGAGAATTAACAAGTTCCTAATCAATAGAATATGAGAATCAACACCTAAATATTATATTTACAGGACATTCCTCAAAGAATGTTTGACCCTCAAACTATGTAGAAAAGTTGAAGTGCGGCCCGGCTCAGGAGAAAAGAAGGTCGGTGTCATGAAGGTGGTAGGGTTTAAACCTTGTTTAACACCGTAGCATAAGGTCATACTGGTGAAAGGGAATAAAGGTAGTGCCAGAGAAGAGTGGAACGGGAACAAGAGTACGAGGGGAGTCTACGACAGGTCAAGTATAAGACAGCAAATTCCTGATCAACTCAAAAAAGTCAGATTGTTGTTTGCGAGGTCAGATCTAGGGTCCAGCAGCTTTAGTTTCAGTCGCACCAGGTTTGGTGGGCTCCAGCTATTTGCAGAGCTTCAATCAGGGCCAGTGATCGGTTTGCTGATGATCATGAGGTTTCACTAACTCAGATCCATAAATTCAGGCTTTTGCTGGAATCATCCAGGACAGATTGGGAAGGGTCAGACCACCAAATAGAAAGCGCATAATAAATAAGAGTGCTGAAACAAACAGATCCTATGATCAGCACTGTTGCAGAACATTCCCATTAAATTTTGGTGCCAACCAAGAGCTGGCTAACCTGGCTCCAATAGCATGTAATGGTTACTAATAAATGAAATATTGTCACATTATGAAACAATGCTACATATACCCAGAGCCCTATCATAGGTTCTGGATTCTGGGACTAAGGAACATAATAAAAATTCTAAAAGAACCTAGTAAATAAATATGATTAGATTGACCAAAAGACCAACATGAACTAGGACCATCACCAACAGGCATATTGGACGTACACTTTATTATTTATAAAATTGTCTATGGAAAAACATGGAACCATTAAACTATAATTTTAAGATGATGCTTCAACTAAAACATCCAATATCAGTTTAATATTATGAGATAAAGCTCAATAATTACCAGATCAGGCACAGAAGAAAATAATGCCTTGGAGATACCCAACGAAGTACAGTCAGCTGGAGTTCCTGCAAAGTGTTATTACATAATATTTATCAAATGAATACCAGCAATACAAGAGGTGGGAGAGTACATGTAACTAAAGCATTCCTCTATATTTAAAACCGATATTGTGGCAATATATCTATCAATTGTGAAAACTTCGTTAAAGAGCACCAAGAAAAAATATGCAGGGGGCTCCAACTACTCTTAACATCCACCTCAGCCTTAAACCCAAAGTAGATAACAACAGAAAATGGATAGAAGGATCTGAACTATAAGCTATATATCATAACTGTGAGCTTTTAGGGAAATGATAGATTGTATCTTATTCTCCAAAGATAGAATTACAGCTGCTATTAAGAAGTAACAACCGGTTCCTATATTTTAGGATCCTAAGATTAATCAAACTCTACTTTATTCAACTACATAAGAAACATAAATACTTTACCCAATATAACAAAAGACTCCATAACAATGACATTGGTAAATCACTTAGAGATTACAAATCCTATGTACATCCATAGAAATACTACTTGGAGCAAGAAAAAATAAAATAAACAAGAAACAAATGAAAATAAAAAGACCTAAATAAGCTAACTGCAGTTATAATTAAGGCATTCTCTGTTAGGTAACCCAGCTAAAAGTTGCCTCGTTATACATACATAGTTTACTCCACTAGGGTTGGGTTCCGGTGAAAAGGGAAGTCATGGTGAGAAGCGTAAGAAGAGATCTCCATCCTTGGATCAATCCTAATTGAATGTCAACACTAATGAGGTGCACCAAGATGCACAGGGTCAATTCTCTGCTAAAGCGCAATTCATGGGTGGACATGAGATTAAAAGTGATCAAGGGTTCATATCTCTTCTTACGCATCTCACCATAACTTCCCTTCTCACACGATCCTTCGCCTACTCCACTATTTATTATTTTTTAATTAAAATGGAATGGAAAAATACAACCTTAAGATTTACAGCGAATGAACCAACTACTCCCTTTGTTCCATTATCCAGACCCAAAACTACATGAAATACCAACAAAATCAGATGTGCTGGAGCAGAAGTGAAAGCATAAATGTAGCACCATGGCCCCAAATAAAGCACTGCCTAGAAATATAAAACTACAGAGCAACTAAGTTGCTTACAGATGACCTATTGCCTCATGAGAACAGATGTGGCAACTTGTTGAAGAATCCAGGGTTTGCACCAAAGAACTGCAGACTAAATAGCATGATACCTTCAGCACAAACAAGTGAACAAAAAATACCTGAGAGGCTTACTGATCAGCACATAAACCCAAAAACAGATGCTACCTGAGACCAGATGCAAGATCTGGATACAGGTGCCAAAGAACAGCCTGCCTGATCAGAATATAGTGAATGTGTGGAACAGTGCTGACAAGGAAGAGCTTGCAAAGTAGCAGATAACGGCATTTGTAACGCCCCACGTCTCTACAAAGTCCTCAACTCCTTCTGGCAAGCTTAAAATCGCTGCGCTACTTAGCTTGCTTTTCAAAGTCTGAAAGGCTTCCTCTTGAGTAGATCCCCACTCAAACTTACTAGCTTTCTTTGTTAATATCATAAGAGGTATTACTAATTTAGAGAAATCTTGGATAAATTTGCGATAGTAACCGGCTACTCCAAGGAAACTCCGAATTTTTGTTGCTGAATCGGGGTTTCCCACATTGTTATGCACTCGATCTTACTTGGATCTACCATGATACCCTTTTCATTAATTACATGACCTAAGAACTGAACTTCTCGAATCCAAAATTCACACTTTGATTAAGGCTAGAAGTGTGTTGGCAAGTCTAGTAAGCATGACTAAGCAATCTAGTGATGAGTTGTTAAGGCTAGAAGTGTATGAGTTGGCAAGACTATTGATTACAAGACAAGTCTAGGAAGCATGACAAGGAGTACTAGAAGCATGAGTTATAAAGATTCTCTTATCCTTTGAGATGAGTTGTCAAGATTCTCTTATCTTTATTGGTGAGGTGTCAAACTCTCATAAGAGTACAATCTTGAGAGCAAAAAGAACAAGTAGTTAATGCAATGAATTTATCTATAAATAGGGGTTCAAGGGTCACTATTTATGCATACCAAAATAAAAAGAAATCTCTCTATATACCTAATTAAGCTTGAAGAAAGGAATTAAAGGAAAAAGTTGGCAAATCAAGGTGAGTGCTTAAGTGATTTATGAGACACATGTATGCTATATGTAGAAGTATGTTATGCATTACAAGTTATGTTGGCATGCTTTGTTCTACATGAAAATATTGATGCACATACATATTCAAGATATGCATGATGACATACAAGTATACACACAAGACATGAAAATCATTTACATGTTATCATATGTGTTACACAAGGCATGAAAATTTTTACATGTTATGTATAACCATAATATCCAACGTACGGGATATTACAAGAAGGAACGTCTTGCAAACGGACCTTATAGGGCAGCCTTTTATATACCCGGGGTTAACAAACCTCAAGACAAGTATGGTATACATGCATGTGACAAGTGAGATTTCAAAAGAATGTTTTATGCATGATAAATAATATAGTATTTTATGAATGTTTATGCATGAGAAAAAAGAATAATTTTATACATGATCAAGAGCTTTTATGAATTATCATTTACAAAATATCATGAAAATTTCTCATTTATGAAACTATAAATACTCACTAAGCTTATAGTTTATATATCTCATGTATGTATCTCAGGAAAGAAGTAAGAAGGATTTGCATAAAGTATAATGGTTTTAGTTGAAAAGCAAGTTTTGTTGTAATACGAGTTATGGTTACGTTTCCACTAAGTAGTTTTCTCTTTGATGTAAATTCAAGATATGTACTAAATAAAGCTAAATTTCAAGTTCAGATTCAAGAGTTTAATAACTTTATCATGTAAAGTAACAGCACCCAATATATATAGAGAGATATATCTTCCTCTTCTTCTTCCCATTCTTCATCTTCCCATTCCTCATCTTCTTCTATGTCATTATCAATAGGTGGATTATTTTCGATGTATTCTATTTCAATTTCGGCTAACTCGGGATCGAAATCTATGTCGGAATCAACCATCTAAAAGGAGATACAAATATGAAATTATTAAACTTTTATACACATGATTATAAAATTCTAATACTTAATGTTATTTTCCTTAGTTTAAGTCTAAGTTACCTAAGCTAAGGAAAATCTTAGTTCACTTAAACCAAAGGCTCTTATACAATCTGTAACGCCCCACGTCTCTATATATATTGGGTGCCGTTACTTTACATGGTAAAATTATTAAACTCTTGAATCTGAACTTGAAATTTAGCTTTATTTAGTACATATCTTGAATTTACATCAAAGAGAAAACTACTTAGTGGAAACGTAACCATAACTCGTATTACAACAAAACTTGCTTTTCAACTAAAACCATTATACTTTATGCAAATCCTTCTTACTTCTATCCTGAGATACATACATGAAATATATAAGCTATAAGCTTAGTGAGTATTTATAGTTTCATGAATGAGAAATTTTCATGATATTTTGCAAATGATAATTCATAAAAGCTCTTGATCATGTATAAAATTATTCTTTATTATCATGCATAAACATTCATAATCTTTATCATGCATAAAACATTCTTTTAAGATCGCACTTGTCACATGCATGTATACAATACTTGTCTCGAGGTTTGCCAACCCCCGGGTCCATAAAAGGGTGCCCTATAAGGTCCGTTTGCAAGACATTCCTTCTTGTAATATCCGGACAATGGATATTATGGTTATACATAACATGTAAAAAAATTCATGCCTTGTGTAACACATATGATAACATGTAAATGATTTTCATGTCTTGTATGTATACTTGTATCTTGTATGTCATCATGCATATCTTGAATATGTATGTGTATCAATATTTTCATGTAAAACAAAGCATGCCAACATAACTTGTAATTCATAAAATACTTCTATATATAGCATACATGTATCTCATAAATCACATAAGTACTCACCTTGATTTGCCTACTTTTTCCTTTGATTCCTTTCTTCAAGCGACCCTTAAACCCCTATTTATAGATAAATTCATTGCATTAACTACTTGTTCTTTTTGCTCTCAAAATTGTACTTTTATGAGAGTTTGACACCTCATCAATAAAGATAAGAGAATCTTGACAACTCATCTCTAAGGATAAGAGAATATTTATAACTCATGCTTCTAGTACTCCTTGTCATGCTTGCTAGATTTGTCTTGTAATCAATAGTCTTGCCAACTCATACATTCTAGCTTTAACAACTCATCACTAGCTTGCTTAGTCATGCTTACTGGACTTGCCAACACACTTCTAGCCTTAACAACTCATTACTAGCTTGCTTAGTCATGCTTACTAGACTTGCCAACACACTTCTAGCCTTAACAACTCATTACTAGCTTGCTTAGTCATGCTTACTAGACTTGCCAACACACTTCTAGCTTTAACAACTCATCACTAGCTTGCTTAGTCATGCTTACTAGATGTAACAGCTGCTGGAGTACTTGATTATGTATAAATATTTGTATTTAAGGCTGAAATATTGAGATTTATTTAATAAGAAACTAGGGTGTTACAGCATTAACAGACAGCAAATTAGTGTATTAGAGCGCAGCAATAGCTCGAATACAGGACACAGCTGTTGCGACCAAAACTTTTGTTGAATTTAATTAATGTACAGGTTCATTTAGTAGAAAATTGATGGATCCTTCCGATTTCAATATAGGGTAGGTAGACACAATATGGATTAACGCAGGTAGGGAAACAGCACGTAGAAGAGATTGATGACGGCAGTAGGAGCAGTCCAGCCAGAGTGATGGCACCTGTTGTTAGGACTTGTACCAGGAGTCAACAAGGCTCTGATACCAAGAAAAAGATAATACCCAAAAAGATTTCATTATTCCATTAGCATATTCATTGAGTAAAAAGTGAGTCATAGGCCAAGATAATGAGAAACCGTAAATATAACCCTAACAATAAGACATATATGAAAGACAAGAACATCCCTATTTTAACAGTTCTTCCTATCAAATTATGAATAAGAGAAGTTGCGAATGAGATAATTCAAGTTGATAGAAACTGACCAGAAACAGCAAAGGCTGTTGCTCCACTTATTTCGGTTTGCTTTGCAGACAGAGCATGACGCCAGGTAATGGAATGACTGACAGCTGACTTTTCCCTGGAAATATCCAATAATAATAAATGGTAGGCATAAAGCTCCAATCTTTTAGCACACAATCATTTAGTTTACTGTTATTCCACACCATAAACCAAATCAATGCAAGTAACTCAAAAAGTACCATTACAATTAAGGGGGGAAAACAGTCCTTTTTAGCCTTTGTTTTTAGTCTATCTATGCTACTAGTTCAACAGATAGCACTTATTCTCTTTCAATCAACAGGATGAGAATAAATCCTAGGATCACATATTTTTCATCAACCCAAAAGTCGCAACTACGAAGCTCTTTTCTCAAGAGAGGCCACAATCCATGGATCCAGGGTTTTGATGAAGCTATGTACCGGGGTGGGAGATTATTTTTTCCAACTCTTCACATGCCTTTTCAGATTTCTCACTGTCACCATGATAATAAACCATAATGAAAGGCACCGGTCGCATCTATGTGAGACTCTATTGTATTGGTAACCATCATTTCAAATGCACACAACTTCCGCGAAATCACTTTCAACACTCATCACATGCCTCTCTGGTTTTTTCTCCACGATTAGTTTGAATTTAATAAATCAAAGTGAACTCCAATTATGAGATGGAAGAAGTAGCTGTTATTCTATTGGTTAAATCACAACACAAGCATGCAGTAAGCTTTAGCCTTAGCCCTGAGCTCAGAAAAACCACACATCCTAAACAAGGGCAATGTATGTAACAAACTTGTCCTGATATTCAATTTGTTTATTTTTGAATCTTTATACTAATCAACTATATTCCGTTAAATAAACCTAAAAACCAGTGTACTCGCCCTAGAGTATTCTTGTCTTGCCCACTCCCTCCCTCCTCCCTATGCATATATGATGAACCAAAAGGCACACACAAACCATAACCACCAAACACAAATCCACACCACCAATGGTGTCATGGCACCAATGCATATACATCATCACAGCAGAACATCACATGTTAGATTTGGTTCGAAAGGTTTAAGATCAAGCCAACTAGTTAAAAGGTTTAACGTCAAGTCAAATAGTTGAAAGGTTTTTAAGATCAAAAGTTGATACAAGAAAACGATGTTAATAATAACCATGCAAATTAGGCCTTTGCTAATATGTATCATCTCAATGCTTCCTCCCTTGATTAAAAACAATGACTTCAGTAGACCCTCCAAGAAAACTTCAAGCATAAAGACTTTAAAGATATCCCCAGATTCAGTACTCTTAAAAGAAACAGACATGGAATGTTGATCTTGATCCTACAACTTTGTTGCTAGAAACTCACCAAATATCACAAAAGCCCAGCTAGGAAAAACATGCGATCCCACATGGCCACATGTTTACCTTTAGGGGGAATTTTGTGAAACACAATGTCAGTTGTTACGTTGGACGGTCCCAATTCACAGCCGTTTCCGTTTGTTCATATTGGTCTCTTTGTGCATTTTTTGAATGAAGAAAATAAACCCGATGAAATTGAGAAAAGATTTTGAATGAATTGGTAACACAAATGACAGGAAGAAACTTACGAATCGGGGGCACAGACCCAGACACGGTATCGATTGGTACAGACGAGAACGCGAACTAGAGCCTGCAGACCCGGTGCGTCAATTCCATCGTCATTTGTAACCATAATCGTCGGCCGATCACTGACGCCACCATCACCAACATTACCAGAATTTTCCATAAGTAAAATTCCCAAATCCAATGTGTGACCTTGACGACAGAAAGACACAAATTCGAATGTGAATTCCGCTTCGCTGATGAATGTACTTTGTGTGTGTTTATAGTAGATTGTAGTGGGAACTGGGTTTAACCAGGGAGTGAAAACCGGACCCTGGAATCTATCGGGACATCTCCTACAAATTCTATAATTTATGGAAACATTTGAAACACATAACTAATAAATGAACCAATGAATTTTTATTATTTTGAATGATTAATTTTTTTAATAAATAAATAATCGAATTTTTAAAAATTAATTATTTGTATATTTTTAACCAAAAAAAATTATATGTAACCGGATATAAAGATTTTAAAGTAAAAAAAACACTTGAATCAATTTTATTTTAGTCAAACTTTTATGTCATTCAAACCTCTCGGAACCTCTCTTATGTATTTTGGTTGCAAGTAATTGTTTTTGAAGATCATTTACCTTTTTATAGAATCATGGGTATTCCTTAGGAAGGGTCAGAGGATAGATCACTTGATTAAATCAGTATTTATCATTAAGCGATATTGAGGTCTTAGTAAAAGCGAGTTAGTGGTTGATGACCAAATAGAGACGTAGTGTTTTAAGCAATGAATGTCTCGTATAAGAGAAGAATAAGGCGAAAGATTTTGTTGCTTGAGGATTAAGAGTATGTCTGTGCTTACCCTTAGGGAATGCTTCTTTGAGGTATGTGTTGAGTTCCAGGATGAGAAAAGAGAGTGGTGGAACGTTTCAATCGTTCATAAGATCCCAATTATCTTTCGGATGTGTGCCTTGTTTTCCACCCATTAATCATTGGGAGTTTCTGTATGGAACTTGTTTTGTGTGCAACGCCAATTGATGGTGCATTTTGACTTTTAGTGTTGGTGGTAGATGCATACTGTTGATGTATCTGGAAAAGTGATGGTAATGAAAGTGGCAGGCGATATCTAAGTTATGCTTTGCAAGAAATTCATGTTTAAACTTAGAAATCTTAAGAGAAGAATTTTTAGATCAAGGATTTGTCTATGTTGGTCCAGGAAGGTGATAACTTACACAAAAAGTGTTTGTAGAAGGGAGAGTTGAAGATAAACACAGCAGATTTTCATTTTTAAACTTTTTGCTTTATTACTTGTATAAAAACAAAAAATTACAGATTTCTTGTGAAAGTTAGGAAGGTAACACTTGTGATCCTAAACAATTTGATGACGAATTTGCTAACTGAAAGAGGAGGAGGGAGAAGATTTCTCTTTTAGATCCGATGAGCTAAGGAAGATCTTCGGATGTTGACGCTGAATTTCCTTCAAAAACACTCACAAATATTGTTTTTCAAAAACGGGTGAATTGCAATGTATGTCAAGGGTGGCTTTTACAGCCATCTTTGCATTTAATGCTATATGTCCATCTTGTTTGTGTGTCTTCTTCTTGTTGGTTGATTCATGTATCCTAGTACTCTTCATTTCAACCTTTAACATTAATGTAAACACTTTTTATCTTTACGTCATCTGTTAGTATGTGGAGAGAACAGAAAAGCAAACCAAGTATTATTTCACATGGTGCCTCGTACTTGCTTAGGCTGACATGAGCACATGTTTTCATACTAACTTAAGAAGTAAGAGGGTTGGTGAGTACAAACTTGTGGGACAAGTTTTCTACTGCAAGATTTGGCTTGCCACTAGTAGTATTTGTCAGACTACTAGTTGATTTCTTACTTTGTATTGATCTTCTTTTGGCTAGATGACAAACTAATCCTCGTTAGTAACTATCTTGACTTCACTTCAACTAGTCTTCGATTTTGCTGACGTCATTTTGCTATTGGATCAGTACATATAGTTATAAGATTTTTACAAGTAAAAATCCTATATTTGTCTATATCCGATAAGTAATCTACATATCGGATTTTACCAGTTTTATAGACATTGTTATCGGAATTACATGGATAGTTGGTGAATGCTTAAATCTTTATCCAATAGATGATATAATCGGATCAAAATGTCTCTTTAAAGGAAATGCTAGCTATGTATTTATATCCGATGAAGGTGATACATCCGAAGAACACAAAGTGATCGGATGAAATCAATGGATATGATATCCGATGAGTGGGACTACATGGATAAGTACAATAGGAAAACAAGAATGTTTCTTTTCCAAGTGTTTTCATTGGATGTCTATAGGTATTATATACAAATCCGATGATTGAAACCAACAATCTCCATCTATTTATTAATAACACAAATAGACACCAAGGTATAGACACTTAGAAAAAAAAGGTACTGAAACTTATAAGTTAAAATGTGTATCCGAACTCATAATCACAGTGATCCATTTTTGGATTCTTTTTGCCTTTTACTTTTTTTGCTCTTTTCTTTTCTAGGATTTTTCTCTTTTCATTTTTTTTTCTTTCATATTTTTCTTTTCTTGATCGGATTATAAGTACAACAAATAAATATTTACATAGGATCATAATATGAGGAATAAAATGTAGCTAGATATAAAGAAAATTTATAACATTAAAGCAACTAGTTAATGATTTATGTATTGTTTATATGAAATATAACTACATTTTTGGAGGTTGAAGATGAAGATGATCAGAGGATGTCCTTTGTGCTTCTTTTCTTCATTTTCGATCCTTCGTAGCTTCTTCCGAAGTTATTGGCCTTTTGCCTTTATCCTTTGAAAGTTGGATTTGTTCTTCTTCAAGTGACCTTCAGATTGACTGAGTTTACTTCCCCCCCCCCCTCAAATTCAAAATGAGTGGACATTCTTTCTGTGAGGTTGATTCGAAAAGTTTTCTCCCCCCTCAACATGTAACATCTCGCTTGAGCAAACCCCAAATTACCAATTTTATAAAATCTCTAATAAAATATAATTTATTGATTATTGGGACCAAAATTGATCCTAATTATTCTAAAAGTTTTGTCAAAGCAATCGGGGCCAAGGATGGAAAATCTGAAAATGCTGCTGAAACGACTAAATCTGGAGGAAGACCAGAGGCGATGAATTGGTCCAGAGGCAGGCGATGGACCAGAGGCTGCTGAAATGACTAAGTATGGAAGAAGACCAGAGGCGATGAATTGGTCCTGAGACGATGAAGGTCCAGAGGCCATGAAGGACCAGAGACAATGAATTGGTCCAGAGGCAATGAAAATGGACCAGAGGCGATGAAAATGAACCAATACTTTGAAACACACAAATTTGGGCATAACATTAATTAACCTCAAAATATGGGATATTAATTTCTAAAAAAACTTCGAAATATCCGTTCTATTTTAGTGATAAAACCACCCAAAACACAATTCCAAACCGGATATAACGGATTTTTTTTACTTACAACCCGAATTAAGTAGCAAAAGAATACGGGACATGACTATATATAAGCTACACATACTACAACTATGAGATACG